TTTTAAGTTTTAAAATAGGGAAGCATTTGGACAACTTTCCTACAGGCCTGACCTCCCTTTGGACTGGAATGTGAACTTTCCAGTCCACCCCATCCCCTTAGCTCATCAAAGAAAAGTCCCTCAAAGTGTAGCCCAACCTTTCAGTTCACGGTTTAGCATAATAATCACTAAATCCCCTGACAAAATGTGTCCTCTCTCCAACTCTCTCAGTGAAAAGCATCACATTTACTGGTCACAAGCTCAGAAACCATCAAGTTCCCAGTTGAAGGCAGACTCAAGCCCACCCTATTTAGCTAGTCAAAGTTGTAGAAATGGCAATAAGCCCACCTTTCAGTTCATGGTTTAATATAATAAAAGTCTATCCAAAAAAGTCTATCATAAACTAAAAGTCTATCAAGTTTCCTGACAAAGGCAAAATATGTGTTCTGGGAAAGCACACTCCTGAGCTCATCAGGGGTGGAGAGATGATAATCTCTCAGGAGCAGGTACCTACAGCCCTCTCTTTAACCTAATAATCATTGTGAAAGTATATCATGTTTTTATAAAAAGCAAAGGTGCAGTCTTTTTCCAAGACATCCTGCCTCCCAGCATGTCTCTCTCTCTCTCTCTCTCTCTCTCTCCCTCCTCCCTTCTCCCTCCCTCCTTCTAATACATTTTGTTTTAAAACTATGCTAGCATTCTGAAATTCCTTTCAGTAGTGAGTCAATGAACTCACAAGCATGGTGCCACACCCTACTCAACAACACTTACCACTTAAAAAGACCATGTGTGTTTAGTAAATTTTCCACTCACACAAAATCCTGATTGTATGAAACCATGTGAAAAAGTTGCATAAATCAGGGGATCATTTCTATTAGAATTATTCCAGCAAGTTTCATGAGAATCTCCTGAAGACAATACAATGGTACTAAGAGGAAAGAAGCCTATAATTCAAGTTTCCAAATTTTGATATTGCCTACGTTGCAGTTACAATTCTTGCTAACATTCTATGGGACAAAAAGCACATTCTAAACTGTTGGGACAATGCATTAAATGGTATTAAAAGCTACCTAAACCTGGAATGATTAATCATGATATTTCTGAAGCTCAGTTGCTGAAGATAAAGTGAAATGTGCTATTTAATGCTGTGCTGGAGCATCCCAGATGCCTACATCCTTCTCCAACTCCAGTTAAGCTATGTCACATTGGTAACTTAAAGTCAACATTGGTGGGAGTATTTATACAACTGAAATGAGCAAATGCTACAAATCGGAATTTTTCTTTTTCTTTTCAGAGTTGATTGTTAAACATTTATTCACATACCACTGACTACATTTCTAATCTCTCTGGTTAAAGCTCCTAATTAGTAAAACCATTCCAAAAATCTAGCACATATTACTCTCGTAAATTCTGTATCCACATGAACATTTCATCAGCACCTCAAACTTGACAAAATATGTCCTCCCTCCAACTCTCAGTGAAAAGGATCCCAATTACTGGCCACAAACTCAGAAACCATTCTCGATAACTCCTACTCCTTCACTGGATTTCATCTCATGTTAGACCTTAAAATCTCTACAATTAAAATCCCTCTCTCCAATTGAAAGAACGTAACATGGAGTCAATATAGCCAATGTGTAGCCATTTTAACATTACTTAGCTTTAAAATATTTTTCTAGCAGTTCACTTTAATTTACCCTCTAATCACAAGCCAAGGACAGAACCAGTTTCTCAGAGGTAGCTATTGATAATTGTTTTATAACCCCCTCCCCAACTTTTGTATTAATTAGCTTTTCTATTTCAAGTATTTGCCTCCACCCAAGTTAACCTAATCAGCCCTCTGTGAATTTCATGACACAGACAGACCCCATCACCATGGCAGCAATCATGTGATTAACCCACCCATCAGCCTGCCATCAGTCATCTAAGTCAGTACCTGTGCTTACCTGCCCTCTGTGAGGATGTGGAGAAGACCACCACCCAATCACCTTAACGACCTGCTTCCATCAAAGGAAAAGGTTAAAAGACATTCAACTTCAAACAGTGGTTGCCATTGCTTTGTTAAACTCTGGTGTGTACACGTGGCTCTTTGAGCTATGGCCCCCATGTTTCCTAGCCTTGACCCTATCCCCGACCTTGGGGAGGTAAATCTCCTCTCTCCTCTCTCTCTAACTTACTATATAAACTATATTTTTCAATCTAACTTCTGTGTAATTCTTTGCATCTTTCATATGGCACCGGATGACAAGCCAGACATTCACCATTGGGCCCGACCTAACATTTAGAGGCTCCACTGGGATATATTTTTAACATAACACCAACCGTCTTTAGTGGGATCCTCTTTGACCCTTCCCTGTCCCTCCTATTGGCCCCTCTCAACCATCTACCACAGTATTGCTAGGCTGAACATAGTAAAAATCATAAAGGAGCATGCTACTCTACTACTTTATATCCTTCAATTACTCTCTATCAACTTTGGCATAAATTGCAAATTCCTTGGCACAGTGGTAAAGGCCTTTTAGCATCTGACTGTGTTCTGCCCTCCACATTCGCCCCTTACCAGTCACTCCCTCATTGTCAACCTCTCCCCTGTGACTGTAATTCATCCTTGAAGAGTCAATGAAAGCATTATATTATATATCCCCACACACCAGCTTTCTCATATGCATGTCTCCAGTCTAGTGCTCCACACACCTACATTTTAAATAGACTTAACAGTCTAACTCCTTCAGGCTTTGAGCCCCCCCAAAGTCTTTAATTTTTGTATTCCTATTACCTAGTTCAGAGCCTGCATAAAGAAACCACTCTAAATTTGCAAAGTAGGTCTAGTACCAGTTACCCAAGAAGGTTGTTGGAAAGATTAAATGAGATGGTATATGCAAAGAACATGCAGCACAACACATGGTACATAATACTCATTCACCTGCCCTAGAAGAGCCCCAACTGGAGAAGAATTAAGCCTCCATCATATTATACATCCATTTAGCCATTTGTAATTTACAAAGTTCATTTATCACCTAAATGCACAGTAGGAGGTAGACTGATGAAAATGTGTTTTTAATTGCTATGTCTTTGAATTCAAAGGTGTTTTTGTGTTTTGTTTTGTTTTTTTTCCCTCCAGCTCCTTTTCCTGGTCTAGCATTTATTTATTTTTGAGGAGGTAACCACACATGATGGGATTAGTTCAGCTGATCTTTAAAATAAAGGCTTTAAAAATTCTCTATTCACAAGTGTTTTCAAACTTTTTGTTTAATGCTGCAGTTTCCCTCCCTCCTCAAATGCTGTCTTATTAGATGTCCTGTTAAACTTGGTGGTTAAAGGCAATGCTGACCTGGGTGAAGCAGCATTTGGAACCATCTTCCAGACCTCTTCTTGCAGGGTGGTCCCCCTACAAATATGGAGGCTCGGAAGAACACAAACTTCAAAATGGGGAACCCTACCCAAGGTTCTGAAATCCCATAAGGTCAAGTCTAAGATCTAAGATTCTTTCTACCACATCATACTGCCTACTTAGGGTCAAGGCCACAATCTGTGGCCTCTGGACAAAAGGTTTGTGTTTCTTATACATGACTACTCATCATCCATAAATACTGCAACTGTACAAATCTAAGATAGGCAACTGGAAGTGGAAATAAATTTAAACTGCTTCCACTTGACAAAGGTCAAATGGAAGAGTAATAAAAATCATCTTTCCCTTCAGCAGACAAAAATAGTATTCCCTGGCTGCCAACAGAGGAACTACCTACCCATAGGGGGAATTTATCAGTTTCTGGAACAAAAGATAAAGGAAGTCAAAGAATCACCTTCCAGATTATTCTAGAAGAGTCTACTGGTAGAGATTGCTTCTGACCCCCCCCCCCCACTTTCCCCTTCTTCATCACTCTTACTTAATTATAGTTTTTATTCAGGGTGTCCCAGCTAAAAGACATTTCCCAGCCTCCCTTGCAGGTAGTTATGACTCTATAACTAAGTTCTGGTCAATGAAAGGTAAATAGTAACTGGGTAGCATTTCTGAGAAAGGGGCATGGCTCTTTGCCATTTTTTTCTTCTTTCTGTTCCTTTCCAGAGCCTGGAACTTGAACTTGATGGCTGCAGTTACTGCAGCTATCTTGTCATTTTGAGGATGAGAGCCTTGCACTAAGGTTGACAGAATTGATAGAAAGAGACCATGAAGAAACCATTAAAACAGGCATACACAGCCTACCTCTGGCTTTATTATGAGAGAATTCATTTTTTTTTTCATTAATCAGTATTTTTTATTATGGTTTTGTGGGGTACAGTTAAGGGTTAGGTGTACAATGACGTTAAGAGAATTCATTTTTATAAGATAAATGTATAGTTAGGACCCTTTTGCTAACAGCCAAACACAATTTCTAACCAATATAGTCCTTGGTCTTATTGGCAGAAACTACAGAAGTCAGGCAGAGATATTTGGGAGATGAGATGACTCCAGGAAAGGAAGCAGTTCATCTTATATCCTCCCCCACTTCTTGCCAGATTTTCAAAAATAATTCTAGAGAAGGTTAGTGGAGGATAAGCACGCACAAGTTAAACTCAGATGACTAGAAGCTGAGTTTATCAAAGTCTGCCAGAGGGCCGGGCTCGGTGGCTCAGCCTGTAATCCCTGCACTGTGGGAGGCAGAGGCAAGTGGATTGCCTGAGCCCGAGGTTTTGGGTTCGAGACCTACCAGGCAACTTGGCGAGACCTCATCTCTACAATAAATAAAAAACTAGCCAGGTGTGGTAGCACACGCCTGTAGTTCCGGCTACTTGGAAGGCTGAGGCGGAAGGATCGCCACAGCCCTGCAGGTTGAGGCTGCGCTGGCCAGGAGCGTGCCACTGCACTCCAGTCTGAGCGACAGAGTGAGACTCCAACTCAAAAAAAAAAAAAAAAAGAAAGAAAGAAAAAAAGTCTGCCAGAAAGACTAAGCCTGTAAAAGTAGGTGTCAGAGTAGCCAGGTTAGTAACTCTGCATGGCTTTCTCCATTGTATCTGACCAAGAGAGGGGCCCCTTTTTGTACCTCCTCCAGGTTGCAGAACTCCTGTCGCAGGGTTACCTTCAGATCAGTGCATTCTCTCCCGCATCTCAATGCTACCAGACACTCCTTGGTCAATGGTGGGACCTAATCAGAGGACACAGCTTCTTAGTGGAGAAGTCTGCGGGAACTTCATATTCCCGCTATCCCTAAAAATGGAGTGAAGCTTTGTTACTCCAACCTAACAAGCCAACACCCATATACAAACTCCCCAACTCCCCACAAGCTGCAAGGAGCGTTAAGTTATCTCTGTGGTTTCAGGAATCGGCTTCTCATAGAACCCCAGTTAAAATATGGTGCTTTGGCCAGGCATGGTGGCTCAAGCCTGCAATCCCAGCACTTTGGGAGACCGAGGCAAGAGGATTGCTTGAGCCCAGGGGTTCAGCCTGGGCAACCTGGAGAGACCTCGTCTTTACACTATATCAAAAAATTAGCCAGGCGTGGTAGCACGTTCTGTAGTTCTGGCTACTTGGAAGGTTGAGGTGAAAGGGTTGCCTGAGCCCTGCTGGTTGACGCAGGGGTGGCAGTGAGCGTGCCACTGCACTCCAGCCTAGGCAACGGAGTGAGACTCCAACTCAAAAAAAAAAAAAAAAAAAAGAGGTTAATCCTCTACCAAATAATATTTACATTCCATTGTTTTTTACCCAAACCTAGAGAAATATTCCCTTTTAATAAATTTTATTTTATTTTATTTTATTATAAAGATGTGGGGTATAAGTCAGGATTAGGTACATAGGTAATATATGTGCAGGTGAAGTTTGGAACTCCAACTGTTTGGCCCTCTCTTCCCCTGGTTTAGGATTAGGTACCTTTTTGTTGTTATATGCACCCTCCCCATTTCCTCCTCCCCCCGGCAGTGTCTCACAACTGCCAATCCCTACCTTGTGCTATTGTGAATAATGTTCAGGTCCCATTTATGAATGAGAACATGTAGTATTCAGTTCTTTGTTTCTGTGATGGATTGCTAAGAATGGAGAAATACTCTATTTAAAGAATTACCAGTTTTCAGTTATTTCAGTATTTCTATTTCAAATCACATGATCATTGCCATGTCATAAGCATAGTTCCCGATGGCTAGTTGAAATGAAGAAGGACCTAGCAATTAAGGCTTTATCCTTTAATATCAGTGGCCATACTCTACCCTACCATGCCAACTAATTTCCTAAGGCTCATGTGATATCAAACAAAACAGTTTCACCAATGATTGACTTTAAAATGAGTTGAAGTTTGGGAAAAACATTCAAAGTAAAATAGGGTGTAAGTGACTTTTTAAATCGAATATACCTTACAAAAGAGCTCCAATAACATCTTTTGGCGAGCTCGCTCATAAGGGTCATACGGAAACAGCCTCCTTCCTGGATAAGCATCATCCAGGTACTCACAAGTGATGACAGACTCGTAGATCAGTTGACATTGACTGTTCTCCAGGACAGGGATTTGGCCAAAAGGGTGCTTTGTATAGTACCATTCAGGCTTGTTTCTCAGGTTAATGTTGACAACTTCATGTCTTAAAAAGCAAAAGACAAACAAGACAACAAAAATGAGAGACGTCGGCAGACAGAGGCTCATCTTGAAAGCAGGAGCAATCAATTTATAAAGTTAAATTTGCAGTTCATTGTTCAAAGTTTATATTTATATAAAATACATAATTGTCAAGAAGTTGTGCTAGATACTTTGTATGTCTTATCTCAGTTGTTCCACCTGGTTCCCTATGAGATAGGTTTATTCCATAGGAAACAAGACTCAAGGAGGCTGAATCTCGTGCCGCTAAGTAGCAGAGCCAAGATCAGAGCCAGGCAGGTAGACTCAGGGCTTACACAATCAAGACATGAGAGAATTTAATACATTTTAAATTTGAAAATACAAACCTGGTACTAACAGGTCGCAACACACTGTGGTAAATGTTAACAGTTAAGAGTTTGAGTTCTGGGATCAGGCTGGCCAGTCTAGTTTGGAACCTTAACCAGATCCTTAAGCTCTCTGTGTTGTGTCCTTAATTATAAAATGGGGGCTAAGAATTGGTTATCTCTTGGCATCGTTGTGATGAGTAAATCAATGGATATGTACAAAGTGTTTAGAACAGTGCCTAGTATATAAGCATGCAATAACTTTCAAATTTTTCTTAATTATTGTTATTAGAGGTTCGAATATTAATATTATTATTACTTAGGTAACTATAAGAGTAACATTCTCAACCCTGTAGCCTCAAGGGCAGCTCATTATGTAGTCTACATTCCAGCAAAGTTGCTCTACCTTCCAAATCCAGACCTGCAGAAACTAGTCTTGCAAAATTCTTCTAAAAGGACATATACTCGTTACTCAGGTATATTTTTAAGTTATAAAGTTACCAAAGGCATGCACATATGTTTTTAAAGATTAAAGGAGCCAGACTCGGTGGCTCAGCCTGTAATCCCCCACTTTGGGAGGCTGAGGCGAGTGGATTGCCTGAGTCCGCGGATTTGAGACCTGCCTGGGCAACTTGGCGAGACCTCATCTCTACAATAAATAAAAAAATCAGCCGGGTGTGGTAGCGTGCGCCTGTAATTTTGGCTACTCGGAAGGCTGAGGAGGGAGGATCACCGGAGCCCAGCAGGTCGAGGTTGCGGTGGCCGGCAGCGGCCAGTGCACTCCAGTCTGGGCGACAGAGTGAGACTCCAACTCAAAAAAAAAAAAAAAAAGATTAAAGGAAAAAATTGGGAACATTCTTTGCTCAGTCTAGAAGAATGTCTTACAAGCTAAAGCAATGAATCTCAGCCAGAAGTCATTTTTCCCTCTCCCTAAGAGTCATGATGGCAATGTCTGAAGGCATCTTTTGGTTGTTACACCTGGGGTGTTTGAGGGTGGTGGTTTATTGCTATCCAATGTGTAGAGGCCAACAATACTGCTAAATATCCAACAATGCATAGGATAACCCCTATCTTTCTCTCTAAGACAAGAGTCAGGACCCTAGAGTAACATTCTCAACACTTTAGCCTTGAGGACAGTTCATTATGCAGTCCACATTCCAGCAAAGTTGCTCTACCTTCCAAATCCAGACCTGCAGAAGCTAATCTTGCAAAATTTCTTCTAGAAGGACATATACCCATTTCTCAGGTATGATAAAACATTCCAGACACCTCTCGATAGCAGTTCCTCCTATTTCATTGTTTGTAATGATTTGTTCATTCATTCAGCAAATTTTTTAAAGTGCCTACTATGTGCCAAGGCTCTCTTCTAGCCCATGAATAACAATAAAAAGTTCCTAACTTCAATAACTCACATTTTAGGGGAAGTAGTGTGTGGATGTGCAAGGAAGCTGGGGGTGTGGGGAAAGATGGATGAATAAATAAGAAAATGTTAGAGGCAGTCAGTGCCATAAAGAAAGGATAGAGTTGACCTAAATTGCCTGGGGTGTGGGTGAGGGGACACAGTGAGAGCAGTCAGGAGAGGCCGCAGCCTTGGCTGTGTCCTTCCTAAACAAACATGAGAGGAAAGCAGTTCAATAGCTCCATCATTTGAGAGGACCGTAATAAAGTATACCATAGACTTAGGTTAGGAGCATGCTATAACCCAATAAATATGTAATCGGCTTGTGGACAATAGCGCAGCCATTTTTAGTTTTTAGTTTTCTGTCTTAAAACATAACCTGTAACTGTTTAAAGTTCCAGTTATGGGAAAAACTGCAAAGCTCTAGTTATTCTTCCCTTATCTCACTTTCCCCTTAGTAACAACCAATCAGGTGCCAGGGGGTAATCACCTAAGTTTCCAGATGTCTCTGCAACTTCCCTAGCTAGTGGACCAAGGTCAGCCCGAGTCAGGTTAGCCAATCCTTCACGATTAAGCTGACCACCAGAGGTTACTACCCAATTAAATGGTAACACAACTGAAAAGCCCCCCCAATCTCCTCCTCCCTTTATGTAAAAGCATAAAAGGCATCTGCTTAAGGAAATCAGAGCCTCTGAATGTACTCCACTGTGTCGGTTGTCGACAGAGGCCCAGGCTCGAGCTTGCAAATAAAGACCCTCTTGAACTTTTATCGGAATTGGCTCTTGGTGGTCTCTCGGATTGAACTTTTGGCCACTACACATTCAGTTTACTCTGCATGGGCCTAAAACTTATATGCACAGATATAACTCTGAAAAGGGCTCTGCATTTCAGGAGAATTTGCTGAAAAGCCTGTCCTTTGCTAATTATGCATTGACTTTGTGTAGGAAGAAAGGAATAGGGAGCCCCTTCTAACATTTAAGCAAAGCGCCCAGATTTTAAACATTTCTCCTTGCCTGTGGGGGACTGGGCTTGGGCAAGCTCAGTTCCCAGTCTCACCTGATGCCTTTGGCCTTGAGGACTAGGCGGGTCCTGTGCGAATAGGGGCAGAACCTCATGCTGTAGATGCGGATCAGGCCCTCCGGGACTGGCCCTGGGGGACAACTTCCTGCAGTGTAGGTGAGGATAATGGAAAGAAGGGGCTTGTTAGCCTGCTGGGGAGAAAGGGTCACTCCCCCAATCCCAGAAAAGATTGGCGTGCCCCACCCTCCCAGTCCCAGAGAAGACACTTTTGCACTTTGCTCTTGTGCAGATCTCTTCAAGCCCTTCCCCGCCCCGCTGGTCTGCGGATCAAGGTTGAGGCAGCCCCTTCTCCACAGCCAACATCCCCAGCCACGCGGTGCCCCCAGCGCGCGGACCGATCCCGAGGGCTCACCTTTACCCAACGACCTGGTCTCATCCTCACACTGGATCTCCAGGCGTCTGCGCATTGCTCGGAGCTCACAGTCGCCGCCCTGTAGCTCACCACAGCCGCCGCAGGCTCCTGGGATAGCTGAGCTCAGGATCCCCTTCCTGCCCCAAATTCAGCTTTTGGAGGACTGGACTCTGATGGAGTAGAGGGGAAGTGATCTGGGGCAGGAGCTAGGATAATTTAATCTGGGGAGACATCGCCCCACGTTCGGAAATCCGAGTAGGAGCTGGCAAAACAAAACAAAACAAAACAAAATAAAACATAACAACCTGAAAGTTCCCCTTGCTTTGGCTATGTGGGAGCCTGCCCCATATCAAGCATCCGTGAAGAATGGGCATTTAAACACCAACTTGTATTTCAAAGGAGTTTAACAAAAATTGGCCAGAGTAACACTCAGTCTTTGTGTCCCATTCTGAGGCCTCCCTCTTGGATCACTAAGACAATTGGCCACATCATCTGCATAGTAAGTGCTGCTTTAAAAAAAAAAAAAAAGGCCAAATTTTCTAATGATATAGTAGACAGAAAATAAAAAAAATGATTGGTGTTGAAATCTTACACGACTCTGAGAGTGACTGCCTCCTTAAAGTTTTGCACCCTAGACACCTCACTTGCCTCACCCTAGTCCCGACCCTACTTGTGAGATTTTATCCAAGCTCTGAAAAACTGGTAGTGAATAAAAACAAGATACCTGGAAGCAAAGAAGAATTTGTAAGCTCTTCCCACCATCTTCCCTCCCCACCTCATAAATATTTGAGAAGACTCTAGTTACTAGGGATACATTGCCAATAGCCTGGCAATATGGGGGCCACTTCCATCTATGAGAAGTGAAGGAGGGATCTGGCCTTATGACAGCCATAAGTTGATATAATGAATTTCAGCAGGTGGAAAAATAATTCCCTTAATTTTCCAGGATTCAGCTTAAGTGTGAGTTTCTTATAAATGCATTTTATGGGATCGACAGGTAATGAAGTGAAAGAAGTAAAAGAAATGTATTTTATGTGTCTCACTAACACTATTTCTATAGATTAACTTATTTGATTCCCACAACTGCTCAGTCAAGCAGCTAGTATTATTCCTATTTTTTGTAGAAAACAACCTCAGAAAAATGGAATCATTTGCCCAAAGTGACCAGCTAGTAGGGTTGAAGAATTTTAAAAGTCCAAAACCTGACTCACTGCCTACGCCTCTAAAGCTGATAACAGTGTGGAGAGGAAAAGTTATAAGTTCAGGAAAAGACGTAGCATATAATAGCTGCTCAACAAGTGCTAGTTGAATCTAAATATCTTTTATTAAAATGATAGAATCTAAGTATGTAGCTAATGAATGGGCATCATTTGGCTTTGAAGTTCCAATCTTCAGAACTTCTTGGTTAATACTGTTAACATTTTTTGCTACCGATTAAGAATCTTTGAAAATCTTCAGAAACTACATTTTTCACTAAGTCATTTGGTGATTTCATGTGAAATAAGCTTAGACAATAATATGGCTTGTGTTGTTGCATTATAGGAATTAGGGAATGGCAAAAATGATTGAATAAATGTTCTCTGAAAAGAATGTCATATATATCAGCAAGAAATCTGATGTTGGAAAAAATGTTTCCTGACTTTCTATGCTGACAATTTTTCAATTTGGAAGACAGAAAAAGTAGTAGAATAACAACTACTCTGGGCTAATTTTATTCAAGAAAGACAAAATAAAAGTAAAATAAAGGGAAGAGACATAACCATGTCATGTTAGAGCTCCTGGTGGATAAGGGATGATTTCTGGGCAGACAAATGTATACCTCACACAAAGAAAGAAGATTTCAATAGTTGAAAAAATAATATCCGTATTCTAAAAAGGAAGGCCATAGAGGAATGCAAAATATCAAGTCAAAATAAATTATTTCTAGCACATATTTGGTGCTTTATGTGTATTAACCAATCTAACCCTTAAAACAGTCTTATAAATGCTCTATTATTATTCCCTTTTAAAAGATGAGCAAACTGAGACTAACAAGATTAAGCACTTGTCAAATGCCTCACAATTAGTAAGCAGAAGAAGGAGGATTAGGAACCACAGAAGTTTGACTCCAGGGGCAACAGTCTCAATCAGTATCTTAGTCTTCACCAGATGCAATGGACTGAATGGTCAGCAAACTTTTTTCCAAATAGCAAATATTTTAGGTTTTTCAGGACATCGGGTCTCGACTATTCAACTCTACCCATGTAGTGTAAAAACAGCCATAGACAATATATCAATGAATGGGTGTGGCTGTGTTCCAATAAAAGTTTATTTATGGACACTGAATTTGAATTTCATATATATATTTTAAGTCTTATTTTTAGAGCAGTTTTTAATTCACAGCAAAATTGAGTAGAAGATACAGAGTTTTCCCATACACCCCCTGCCTCCACACATGCACAGCCTCTCCCACTATCATCCCAATTAGTCTTACTTTTGTTACAATCAAAAGTGAACCTACATTGACACATTATCACTCCAATTGCACAGTTTACATGAGGGCTTACTCTTGGTGAATTTCACATGTCACAAATTATGATTTGCATATTCTTTCCAATCATTTAAAAATCTAAAATAACATTATTTGCTCTAGGGCTGTACAGAAATCAGCCGTATACCCCAATAGCCTTAGTTTACCCATCCATGGTCTATATTATAATAACCGAATCAACAATGGTGAAACTGAGAATTCCATTTGAAGTTAAAAGGTTCCTGGCTCCAACTTTATACTATGCCAGAAGAGGACATATTCCCAAGTTGTTTTCCCTCATTACTGTCTCTTAAAGGAAAACTACTCTGAGAACTGGAAATTGTTGTTTATTAAAAGTATACCTGTTTGTGGTAAGTCAAGTTCTGAAATGCAAGTCAATTTAGTATAGTTAGGTGGACAAAGGGTTAGAAGCTTCTTCCTCTAAAGGGAAGCAACATTGTGTTAAGGATCTCAGAACAAGTCCTGGAACCAGATGGTCTGACTTTGAGACCTGGCTTTGGCACTAATGCAAGCTATCTAACCACTTTGACTTTCACCATCCTCACTTGCAAAATGAGAACAATAATAGTACCTACTTGATGAGCTTGCTGTGTCTAATCAAATTGTACATGGCATCATCAGTATTGTAATAGATCAGTGTACATGACAAATGCTAGTGAGTAAGAACACATTTTTTTTTTAGTTGTAATCTCACTCTGTCGCCCAGGCTGGAGGGCAGTGGCACACTCCTGGCCACTGCAGCCACAACCTGCTGGGCTCAGGCGATCCTTCCACCTCAGCCTTCCAAGCTGGAACTACAGGCGCTCGCCACCATACCGGCTAATTATTTTATTTATTGCAGAGATGAGGTCTCATCAAGTTACCCAGGCTGGTCTCAAACCTGTGGGCCCAGGCAATCCTCTCACCTTGGCCTCCCAAAGTGCTGGGATTATAGGCGTGAGCAACTGCACCCGGCCTAAGAACACATTTTTAATAGCATAGTACTTTCCTGTTTTGTATCCATAAAGATGAAGCACATTGCAATTCAGCTTGATACTTATTTCACTAGTTACCAATTTAATGCCAATTGAATGGGCAGAATGCTTCAGGTTACATTTCAGTAATGTGGTTTTTAATCTTACCACTGAACACTCTAGTTTCCCCAGAAAGATTTTAATTACTACCTTTAAGCTTATTCCTACTTTTGTAAGATTCAATAGGTACCTCTTTGAAATCCTCTTTGTGAACTTCTATGTTACTTCATGTTTACACCTATATCATACTGACTCAATCAGGCATGAAATAAACTGTAATAAGGCCACATTAAACCTCCAAATCAGTTTCTAACCACCTGAAATATAATCAAATCTGTTTTGAAAATGTGGGGATCTTCAGTTAATGGGTGATTAATGACTTAAACCTTCTAGGAAAAGAATACTATCAAAGAAATAATTTCTTCATTGTATTTACATGTCTGTTTTGTGAAGAAGAGAAACTGGGGTTTGCTTTAGCAATTTTTCAAAAATGTATTGTCATATCAGCCTCTGATAGTGGCAGAAACTGGAGAACATTCCTCTTAATATTTCAGAAGCCTAAGTTACATGAAATACTATATTACTGGGTGTTCCATTATGGTTCACCAAGTTTAAAGAGTAAGGTAAGTGAGGAAAAACGCTCTATTCTCAACTGTGTCTATATTCAGAACTTGTTTCCAGGATGTGAGGGTAATAGAGAATCCTCTATGCTAATGAAGATGTCTTTGGAGCATATTAAATAAGATTACTAAAGCTGTCAGAGGAGGAACTTCATCTTCCTACTAGGGAAAACAGGGTCAAAGGAGATTTTCTTTTTAACTACTTGTTTCTGCTTTCCTTTGCTATTTGTCTTTACAACTTGAGGAATCAAAGAAATTTTTTTTAACATTTTGATATAATAACATTTGAATAAGCAAAAGCAAATTTTCAAGATCCTGAATCAACAAAACACAAATATTTGTAAAATTCAAACAACACACATATTGAGTTTGGAAAAAGAACATCAACTCCTGTTAAACATCAGGCATAATAGCGGAGAGGTAAAAGAGATAGATTCTATCGTCTCCTGGCTCAACCTCGAAATGCTAAGAGTTGTTAAATAAAAAGAGACTAGAGTAGTAGCATGCATAAACTCTTATCTCAAGAACTGTCTTAATGTCTGTAAGAGTTCAGGCTGGATTTGAATCTCTTCTTCAGCATGTACTGGCTGAGTGACCTTGGGTAAATAACAACTTGGTATGCCCTGGCATTCTATCTGTAATTGGTAGATAATAGTACCAACACATCATGTGATTTGGCAGGTTTAATTCAGACACTGGTTGAGAGGCATTGAACACTTAGCATGTGTCTGTTACCTAGTAAGTATTCGACATTAACTATTATTATTATTTTATTATTATAATTTGAATGTAGCTGGGAATACTTTCATAGTCTTCACAAAGACAGGACATTTCTGGAAGCCAATTTCCCCTGCCTGCCAGTGCCCTAATCATGTGGTGTAATCATGTAAACCAGTGGTGTCCCATTCAGGGCTGAGAACTGGTGATCTGGATTGATCTTCGCCTGATTTCAGTCAAATCAGAAAAATAAGAACAATTTAAGTTACAGGTATTCAGTTTAAAGACCTGCTTTTTATTTTTAGGCTACAGCCCTTGTACTTTTTTGGATGTTAAATCCTTTGATGAAACACTGGCGAAGTTTAAATAGGCTTTTTCTAAAGTGTTAGGCAAAATTTAAAGTTGGCAATACTATCGTGGGCCCCGAAATTCGTGGAAATCCCGATTCAGAATTGACCTCAAACCCTTCTTCCCTTGAAATACAACACAGGCCGGACGGACCCACCCGGTGGAGCAGAAAGGAAAGACGTGCCCGAGGAACCTCTGGGCGCGGAACCGACGGGTCGGGATAGAGATTGGCGGCGGCCCCCAAGAGGCGGGGCCCACTCCTTCGCATGCGATCCTACCCGCCAACTGGCCGCGGCGCCCGGAGCTTCAGCCAATCGTCAGAGCTTTCGGAAGCGTCTGTCAAACCGGAGCTGAGCCAATGGACGGCCGCGTTACAAGGTTCCGGGTTTTCGAGTCCTGGGTCCCAGCCGGTGCCCGAGGCTGGCGAAAGAGGAAACTAGGCACTGGTTGACCGTGGCAGCTCAGCACCCGGCTCCGCATTCGACTGGAGATCCGCTGGGAGCCATGGGGCCTCGCGGTTGGGGCAGGCAGACGGCGACAGAGATGGTCCGCCGGAAACTGGGGCTTTGGTGGCCGCCGCAAATGGGTGGCAGCGGAAGCGGGGTTGGCAGGAGGCCGTTTGTGAAGTCAACCGGTTCTCGGTCCCTCTCTGGGTGCGGCCCCCCGCATCGCCTGCATCACCATGGGGTGGGGGCTTATTCGAAATAGACTTCGCGGCCCACCCCAGAACTACTGAATCAGAAATGCAGCAGTGGGCCCGTAGATGATTATTATGCACTCATAAATTTTAGACCTAATTATTCAGAGATTTTCCTCATTGGCAAACTTGAAAATAAGCACAGGAAATCCGACTAGTGGGGCGGATAGGCAGTCCCCTAATTCGGATGGTGAGAACAGGGTGCTGGGGTGTGTTCCCTAGATCTTTCTGCCAGCATCTTAAGGCTTTACTTAACCTTAAGTTTTAGTTGTCTCGTCTGTAGAATGAAATGATGCTTTCCGATCTACCTTCTTCTCATGGAGGTGATGATCTTGATAACAAGGAGTGAGAAACCCAGTGGGCTATGGAAATATATGGAAGACGGCATTGATATTTCTCAATGGGGATATTATCTATTACTCATGCAGCCCTACATGCTGAATTGACTGATGTGGTCTACAGTATTTAATTACATATATGGGACACTTACTAGGTACCCAGCATGGGATTTAGTAGGGTTTAGAGATTGGATACTGGGAGACCAAAAAGGAGGCTGTGCAGTAACCTAGCCTTGAGGTGATGTGAGTCTGGTCTTCAGTGATAAGTAAAAGAGGGAGTGAAATTAAGTTGATGATAGGAAGGCAAGGATGAGGAATTTCAAGTTTCCCAACTCAGAAATCAGGAGACAAGAAACTTTTTTTTTTTAATTTCAGTCGCTTTAGGGAGTACAAATAGTTTTTGGTTACATGGTTGCATTGTATATAAGTGGCAAAGTGTCTGGGACAGGAAACTTGAGAAGGCATCTCTTGAAATGACAACAGGACATCTAAGTGAAAATTTCCTGTGAGCAGTTAGAAAACTAGACTGAAGTCCACATCTCGCTAAAGATGATGATTTGGGGATTTTCTTTTTTTTTTTTTTTTTTGAGTTGGAGTCTCACTCTGTCGCCCACACTGGAGTGCAGTGGCCACTCCCGGCCACCGCAGCCTTGACCTGCTGGGCTCTGGCGATTCTTCTGCCTCAGCCTTCCAAGTAATTAACCACAGGCATGTGTCACCACACCCGGCTGATTTTTTGATTTATTGTAGAGATGAGGTCTCGCTGCCCAGGCGGGTCTTGAACCCGCGGGCTCAGGCAATCCACTCACCACAGCCTCCAAAGGCGCGGGATTACAGGATGAGCCACCGAGCCCGGCTGCCCGGCTGATTTTTAATTTATTGTAGAAATGAGGTCTTGCCAAGTTGCCCAGGCGGGTCTCGAACCCGCGGGCTCAGGCAATCCACTCACCTCAGCCTCCCAAGGCGCGGGATTACAGGCTGAGCCACCAAGCCCGGCTGATTTGGGGATTTTCAGCATAGACTATGATGGAACCTCCAGAGTCATTTGAACATCCTGAGGCAGGAAATACATTTACATTTCTATAGGTGACCCTTGAGTTAGGCTATGAGACAAGTCAGTCAGAAAAGATGATCCAATGAGATGGGAGAGCACTTGGGTAAAATAAAAGCATGTTATTCATGTTAGGGAAAGAAAATGCCAGACACTGCCGACTCCTGCCCCCTTCAGAGCCCATAGTCACAGGCCTCAGGACTGTTCTGAAGGTAGAGCTCTATGAAACATTGAAAGGCTTTCACATCAATGTGCAGGGCTGATACTGTGGGATCTTTCCTCATGGTTGCCATCCACAGTTTAAGTTTTGGAGTGTGGCCAACACACCTGTGGGAGGAGAAAAGCATGAGCTAGGTTAACTAGGATGGCATTGCAAAATCTCCCATATATCATCATTGTCACCCTGCAGTTTCATTTTGTTTTCCTCTGGTATTTCTTTTAAAATAATTATTTAAAATGTGGGCCGGATGAGGTGTCCTAAGCTTGTAATCCCAGTACTTTGAGAGGCTGAGGCGGGAGGATCACTTGAGCCCAGGAGTTCAGCCTGAGCAACACAGTGAAACATTATCTCTGATAAATAAAAATTTTTGAAAAATATTTATTTAAAATGCATGTAATCATACAATATTAGATTTGAAAGATATTGTAGAGGTCCTTTTTTACAGAGAGGAATATGAGACTGTAATGAAGTGTCAATGTGAGAACTTGTCCAAATTGAGAGACTGATAACTTTTAAAAATGAAACCATGAAAGACCAAGAGTGTTATAGGTTAATTATTCTGTGGCCATATTGTGAGTAAGAGTAACCCTGAATAGTGCTAAGTGTAAGGCAAGGTGGCTGCCAAATTCAAAACAGAATTCAGAAAATAATGTGGAAATCTTTTTTTTTTTTGAGTTGGAGTCTCACTCTGTCGCCCAGACTGGAATGCAGTGGCCACTCCCGGCCACCCAGCCTCGACCTGCTGGGCTCCGGCGATCCTTCCGCCTCAGCCTTCCAAGTAGCTGGAACTACAAGCGCACGCTACCACACCCGGCTAATTTTTTGATTTATTGCAGAGATGAGGTCTCGCCAAGTTGCCCAGGCAGGTCTCAAACCTGCGGGCTCAGGCAATCCACTCATCTCAGCCTCCCAAAGCACGGGATTATAGGCTGAGCCACCGAGCCCGGCTGGAAATCTTGCTAGTAAGTGGTAGGTAGCATTGGTCATACAATCCTGCAAAAAATTTTATGTTATAGGTTTTGAACCAGGACAGGGTAACTTTTGAAGCATTTTACTATATGTCACAGAAATCCTCCAACCCCCAAGGATAGAGTAGTATTGAATATAGGTATATGACAGGCCCTGGATAGTCCAAGACTCTCCTCCTGTCTACCTGTTCTTACTTAGGCCAGCTATATTAAACATTTTAACTTGTGTTCAACAAAAAGGTCAGTATGTACTATCCCAACTATCATTCTACATTTTGCATAAAATATTCACATGCTTACTCATTTAACTCCAGGGCTTCCAGCCGTTCAAACCAGGGCCAGATGAGGTAATCAATCATAGAGAGAGAATTGCCACCAAAGAAAGCTGTCTTCTTATTATTCAGAACCTGAACATTGAACATTAAACAGCATAAGATTACTTCTTATCTGTGCATCTAGTAAGACTCATCATTAAAAATGATGAAGGCAAATTAAGAAGAGCAGGTGAGAGCTGCAGTTTTTACCCTGACTCATCCAAGTTGGCTTTTTGTCTGATCAAAAAACTTAAATAGCTTTTGAATCTGTTGGTCTGGGATAAAGCAAAACAATCAACAAAATAAACTGGAAGAAAGGGGAAACTAAAACAAGCCACAAAGCACAAAATCTTTGAAATATAAAGGACTGGTTATTCAGAATATAGAAAAAGCCTCAGTGAATCAATAAGAAAAAAAGGAAACAACCCGTTAGAAAAATGAGCAAGACTTAAACTTCACAAAAAAATGTCTAAATAACGAATAATCATTTGAAAAGTTGCTCAATTTCATTAGTCATTAGGGAAATGCAAATTAATACCAAAGAGCAATACCACTATATATCCACCAGAATGGCTAAAAGAAATAAGACAAAGTTAGCAAGGGTGTGAAACCACTGTGGTAGAAGTATACATTGATACAACCATGTTTTAATAGTATGCCTACTCTATAACCCAGCAATTCTACTTGGAAATGTAACATGTTCACCAAAAGATATGTATGTGAATGTTCACTACAGCATTATTTGTAATAGACCAAATGTGGAAATGTTTACTATCTATCAAGAGTAGAATGAATAAATTGTGGTATACTACACCACAATACTTTGGAACACTATACAAAAAATAAGAAAGATCTACACACAGCATAAATCAACCACAAAAACCTAATATTGAATGGAAGAAGCCATACCCAAAAGAGTATATATTATACGATTCCATTTGTTTAAGGTACAAAAACAGCCCAATCTAATATTCGATTTCTTTTTCTTTTTTTTCTTTGAGGCCGGTGTGCAGTGGCACAGTCATGGCTCACCACAGCCTCAACCTTCTGGGCTAAGGTTATTCTGCCTCAGGGGAAGTAGCTGGGACTACAGGTGGGTACCACCATGCCTGGCTAAATTATTTTTTTTGTAGAGGTGAGGTCTTGCTTGCTATGTTACACAGGCTGGTCTCAAACTCCTGGGCTCAAGCTATCCTCTCTCCTTGGCCTCCCAAAGTGCTGGGATTACAGGCATGAGCAACCATTCCCAGCCCTATTCTTTTCTTGATATAGGTGCTGGTTCCATGGCTGTGATCCCTTTGTGAAAACGTTTCAAGCTGTACTCTTATGCTTTGGGTACTTCTCTGCATGTAATTCTTCAATTAAAAACTGTACATGCCAGCCAGGCTCGGTGGCTCAGACTGTAATCCTGCACCTTTGGGAGGCTGAGATGAGTGGATTGCCTGAGCCCGTGGGTTCAAGACCTGCCTGGACAGGCGAGACCTCATCTCTACAATAAATCAAAAAATCAGCCGGGCGTGGTAGCGCACACCTTTAATTCCGGCTACTCGGAAGGCTGAGGCAGAAGGATCGCCGGAGCCCAGCAGGTCG